TGATATTTAAAAAAAGCCTAAATTCATGTAGTGTTATTGCCAACAACATTAACACATGTCAATACTAAAAAAGTTGGTGAACACACTCAACGAGTACTGCAATCTTGACATCAATACCAAAATTTTTATCGATCTTCTTAGTCTCTAGTTTCATATCAACAAAAAAAAAAGTCATAGAACTTGCTACATACAACCTCTTGATGTCGACTCTAATTCCTTAGTTCCCCAAAGCTTCTCTAAATTCAACCATTAAATGTATTCCAAACAATTCATATGTACTATATTCAACTACGATCTTCACTAATTACGACGAAGATCATTGTCATATATAACAAACAATCTCACAAGTATAATTATTTCAATTTGATCAGACCTCATCATTCTTTTTTGAAAAAAAACTTTAGTATCCAGTGATGATCATGCTTTATATTTATGTGTATTGAATATTCATATTAAACTAAGACATTAATCCGTCACTCTATTATCATAAATATTCTAGAACCTTAGAGGACAATCTACACCATTTCAAAACAAATCAAATAATTACAATTTTACCCCTTGAAGTCATTTGTATCAAGAGAGATTTGTAAACTGATGACATAGTCCTGATCATTAATATAAGATTACAAAAAAAAGTCACAAAAGCCCATGCTTATATTTAACTTCAACGCATCTTTAAGGATCAAATTGACAATTAACAATTGAAAAATGGTTTGTTTGCAAATATATATTTGTTGGTTTGATAAGTCGTCCATTATTATACCATGAATCTTTATGTTGATGTCACTATCTTGTATATTTATGTCATTTGACATGTCTCCAACAGCCCTGTTGAAAAATCAAGAATTTGTTGTTATAGTGTCATACATGTATATTTTATGATTTTATGATTAAAAATCATGTTGTCAATGAGGCATTTTTTTCTTGGACAAATGTATTAGGCTCCTTAAAAAATATTTAATAAGCTAAAACTGAGGAAAAGTTTATGAATTTTTCGACTTTTTCATCAATTTTGCGTGTACTTTAACAATAATTTGTTTTGTAACACGATAAAATAATGGTGTTATGATATTTGGTCAAAGTGCACCAATTATAAGCTTTAAACTCAATTGACAAATGTCCATCATTGTATATTCATACTCCATAGGCTTGAGTCATGTCAGGGAGAAGTTAATACGAGTAATGGTGGATGAGAATGTCACATCAGATACAAGTGAATCGGTGTCTTGTTCTTTGGCTCCATCAAGACCAACTACATGGGGTTGTTGCCTTATATTCATGCTAATTTGTCTTTCTCGGAAATGTTTGTTATTATAATATCTTATAACTTCTTTCCCACCCCTCTCCCAACAAGTGTTTCTTCTTCAACAATTCTTCTATAGAAACACACCTGTCAAACTAGTCTGCATAGAAGCAAGCTAATGAAGTCAATTTTAGTTTCTAGAGGAGCCCATCCATGAGTTCGCTACACATGCCTGACCCAGTTAGTTTTTTGAGTCTGTTCGCCGAGTTACCATGGCCGATTAGCATTGGCTAATCACCGTGTCATGCTGTCAGGGTGAGCATTCTGGCTGAGGTGCCTTGATGGATCAGCCATGTAACTCATGACGCGTCCCAAATCTCGTCCAAAGATTTTAGCCATACAAGTCTATTTGCATAATTTCAAAATTAAATTGACAAAAAGATTTAACTCATGTAGACCCACATAAATGAATATATTTATATGATGTTTGTTTTTTTGGATTATTCCATTTATTTTGGAGCCATTTGTGTGGAGAGAGAGAGATATTGAAGAAATAACTAATATGGCGACCAAGTCATTGTCACTATTAATTAGCATAAAATGACATAAAATCATCAAATTAATATGCTTATATTTAACTTTTCCATGATTTGCTAAGCCTTTTTGACAGCTTCAGACAAAAGTGGAGATCAAAAAGAAAATCAACGATGGAAACAAGGTAGGTTTGCAAATATGCAATTTCTATTTGTTGCCTTGATGACATAATTTTAATGTGGGCATTTATATACATATCATCCAATTCTTACATATTTACATTTATATCATTAAAGTCTTTCATATCGTATCTACAATACTCCTATTTTAAGTTCTAAGAAGTGAAATATATATTTTTTCATTTATAGATAAAATGATATATATTAGGGGTTAAATGTATAAATACATAAGAATTGAGTCATATATATGTAAATGTTATAAATTATATCATTTTAAAAATGCACAATGAAAAGTCAAAATTCTTTGAATGATGTTTGAGGGGGAGATGAATTTAAGAGTGGATAAACTAACTTTTCGATTTTTTCTTGAATAAAAATTATTTATTTATTTTTAACCAAAGACTTTTTCTGTTGACCTTGTAATCCCCGAAATTTACAAAGTCAAACGTACTACGTCGAACAGATCGAATAGATTTATATAAGGGACATGTTGGAAAAGTCAATGAGATGAGAATAAATGTCGTAATTTACATTTTATGTTCGGTTAAAAAATTGAATGTAATATAAAATATGCTCGGGCGACCGGCGGCAACGCCGCCTTTGGCGAGTAGCATGTGGTTGTGGTTGGCGGCTAACAGCGTCGGGCGATCAATGGTAGGTCGTTGATGTTGGCGACAATAGTGGCTAGTCGATGGCTGGTTGACAGTGGTCGATGTTTGGTTGGCAGCAATGGTAACATGCAATAGTGACACTGATAAATTAAATTTAGGTGCAGATATGCAAATAGATATATATTACATGGCATATCTATTTATTATAATAATAATTATTATTATTACTATTGTAAATTGAAAAGGTCCAATTTGTAATATCTTTTATAAGAATTTCCACTACTTATAAATGTAAGATCCATATTTGTTTGTTCAACATTTAAGACAACAATTCCTAATCCTTTGTTGTCTTTTGTAATTTTTTATTTCAACACAAAGCAAGAAGTGAATTAGGGTTAGTAAAAACATGACGAATGTAACATTTTTCTTAAAATATTAATTTTATTTTATAATCACAAAATAGAAAATACAATTGGAGCATTCATAAGACATATGAATGCCAAATAATTATTTAATAAATAAAAAAAATAAAAATAAAAAAGCTGAAAGCTATTATATTGTTTGTACGAATATAATATATTAATTTAAAAATGGATTGATTTTTAATTACTGTTGCATTGAAAGAATCATTATATGGAGGGGCTTTATGATGTTAATTAAGGGTCTGTTTGGGACAACTGCAGCTTATTAAGAAGCTATTGATAAGTTACTGAAAAATAAACTGCTGTTCAAAAAGTTGTGACGACTGTTACAATTTTTATTTATTTTGGAAATGTTAGATCGCAGCTAGAAATCTGTCACTACACCTAGCCATGAACGGTAGAAAACGCTGATCTCAGCGGTTTGAAAACACTGTTTTTTGAAATTATTGCAAAAACACAATTTACCTAAATAGGTACAGGGCCCTAAACAGAACCAAATATTCATTTTGTTTTCAAATAAACAATAATTTTTGATAAGATTTATCATTTCACGAATTAATTTTTTATATTAAAATCATTGAAAAAAAAATCACCAAGATTCATTTTGAATTTGTAGATTTGTAGTATAGTTTTTCTAAATACTACATAATAAACTTAAAATTGCAAAACCTCTTCCCAATAAACAAAAATTGTTAGTAAGATTTACCATAATACATAATGGCATTTTGGCTTTTATGGGGGTGGCAAAGACAAATAGTCATCCATGAAAGCTAATTAGGTTCAAAACAATAACCTTTAACCAATTCAATAAATAAGTTCCTATCAATCAATTAAAACTTTGAAAGAAATTAGGCATATACTTATGGATAACTTGTTTATATGAAGATATATATAATACCAAAACAAAAAGGAAGATTTTCATAAATACCTCTCAATTCCTACGTATTTGCATATCTAACCCCTAAACTTCAATTTTCTCATGCATGTCTGTTCATTTCACATTTTAAAAGTTAAAATTGTGATATCTTTTATGTGATATGAGAGATTTGGGTGGTAAAAAAATGTAAACCATGACCAAAGTTGAACCATGAAAACTTATTTTGAAGAGGACAAATTTTTAAAGTATTTAAGCAATTTATTAAAATAGTTCATTTAATATGTAAATCTAACTTAATGTGCATTAAATGTGTATTTATTATCACTTTGTCACCCACCGATATGTTAAAACCAGCATTTCTATATTAATAAAGCTTCAAACTGAAAAATGTTCTTAAGGGAAATTTGTTATGATTAATAAACTTTAATAGATATTGTTAGATATGACTCATATACCATAAAGTGACACATGTTAGAGCGGAACGGAAGATTCTGTCTAAATCAGAAGAGTTTCAACATGTGGGTTGGGGGCCCCACAGTTTGATACCGAGATAATTTAAGTAATTACATATTGTACTATAAGGTTATATATATGTCATGTATGTAATCCTAGGTGAGCTGAATCTTATGTATTTACATATCTAAAACCTAAAGTGCGGCCTTACTTATGCATGAGAAGATATATTTTACTTTTTAAAAGTTGATATGTTAGATGTGATATTAAAGTTTAGGATGGTATGAATATAAAGTAAAATAAAATTTAGGTGTTAGAAATGTAAAATAGATTTTATTATATATAAACTTTACATTTTTATTTATTTGAAATGTCTCATTCAACCATCGTTCGAGTCAACTTTACAATGACGTATTTTATTTTTTTAATAAATTTATTATTTAAAAAAATATTTTTATAATTGGAAAATCAGATCTATGAATTCCACCGTCAGTCCACTAATTCAAAATTTTATTTTGACAAGGCGTCTCATTCTACAATTACAAATAAGTTTTAGTTCATGTAAATTAATAAAAAAATAAAATAATAATAAAGAGTGAGAACGTGTCTATTTCGAAAAATTATTTTTAAATGTTAGTGAGTAATAGGGCTGTCAAAACGGCTCGTTGATGTTTTCCTTGACAGCGGAATCACACTTACGAAGCTAGTAGGTGTTATTGTGCTGAGCTTCGCAAAGTCACGAGTGTTTGTGGTATTAAACCTCAATTCTACTCTCTTTTTTCAAAAATTAGTTCATAATGAGTCTTCATTCTGTTCTCTTGCAGGTTTATTACTTTCAAATGTACCTTGCGTTGGTTCTCATCGGATTCCTACACGGGCTCGTTTTTCTTCCGGTGAGTCCATGACAGATATAAACTGACGATTATTTTAGTCCTAGTGTCTATAAAAGTATCAATTTTGCCCCGGGGACTTTTAGTCCGTAATAAGAGTCCGAGAACTAATTTGATATATTTATAGACTCGACTAAAATGATCCCATGTAAATAGTTAGGACATTATTTTTACACTTTACTCAGATATAGACTTTACAAAATTACAATTTCCACCAGCCGCTGTAGTTCATCAATTTTAACGAACCCAAATTTATATCAAACAGGTTCTGCTAAGCATTTGTGGACCGCCTTCAAGATGTGATTCTGATGAAAAACCAGAAAATCAGCCTACTATTCCAGCTGAGACAATATCATCATAATAAAGAAAAGGTAGAGTAGCCGTTACGATGGCTACAAAAGGTTGTTTTTATGAGGTGATAAAAAAAAAACTATTTAGAAAGTAGAAGTTGGGAAGTGTGGTGATGAAAATATCATCATGTATATGTTGTAAATGAAATTTGCATGACTCTACAATTAGAAAGGAAACAAACAATATCTAGACACTAGTGAGGCTCTGCAGGCATGAACTTTCAGAAATTCTGTAATTTTAAGGATTCAGATACGAGAAGACTGACCTGAGCTTAAGCGATATGTTAAGTTTTTTGTTTCGCTAAGCTTTTATTTTTATAGTAGTTTGTTACAAAATCGCTTTAAAAAAAGTTAGGTTCTAAATTAGGGAGCAAATGGTTGTCTGAAACAGCAACATAGTTTTTGTAATAACAATTTCATAGAAAGTATTGCACCCAAACTGTTTGTAAAATGAAAATTTTTGAGCTTTTCAAAACGTGAAGTAGCTGTACGCAGTTGTTTCAAATTTTGATCGCTATTTACCTTCTTTGAACTAAAATCTTAAGAGGCATGCTCTTTATAATGACAAATATGGGCATTAAAGACAAGTGGCTGACCTATACTTAAAGGGAAATTTACATATATTTACCACAATTCTTATTTATTTGAATTTTTAAGGCCTAAACATTCCTATTTACATTTATGCTTAAAAAAAAGAATGTGCCGATATTTATGCAAGTAATTTATCTATTTAAGGGGAAACCCTAATGTTTTTGAGAAATTTACATTTCTATAACATCTAAAGTTTTTTATTTGCATTTGAAATATGAAATTTTTAGAAAGGAGCCTATTTGCTATAAATTCTTGCGTTAGAATCCAGGCAGAAATTTTAAGGACCAAAATGTCTGTAGGTATGGCTGTCAAAAAAGCTTGTTGTTCGCGAACAGTTC